CCATTTATCACTTAAAATATTTTCATAAATATTACATTAAGATGTAATATTGAAACAAAAACATATAACATAGTGCTTGGTACATCAATAAATATATTGTGTTAATTTGTTTTAACATTTCAATTAAAAGTTGTAATAATTCTAAAGATCAATTTACAAATTTATGCCATTATAAATTAATAAACAAATCCAGCAACAAGTGGCAAGAGTTAAAATTTTGTGTAGCACCATTTGTTGTTAAAAATTGTAAATGCTAATCACAAGTAAAATCTTCATTAAGTCCAACCCCACTTGAGATATGACCACCTCTATCTCCCCACCCCTTGACCTTTAACCACAAAATTTAACAGCATGAATTCCCCTGAAACACAAACCTCCTTGCAAGATTTCAGAAATTTTCAGCAAAAGGCATAGGCGTTATTAAGCTTTCAAATTGAGTGAACAAAATCATGCCCCATACACACCCATACACCTATACACTAATATATAGAAAAAGAATCCAGCAATGAAAGTTGCATAACTTTCATGGCTGTTATGAGTTTTTATTAAAAAAAAGAAACTTTTATATTATTAAGCAAAATAAATAGTGTGTGGTATCATATGTTATGAGATTTTGTTATAAAAATTTTTTGAATTTTTAATTACTATAAAATAGCAAAAAGCTTAATTTTGAAGGTATGGATGAGTTTTATTTAAAAAAAAAAAGTATGTCAATAACAAGTAAAATCATTATTAAGTTCAACCTTACTGGAGATACACGTGACCCCCTTATTCCCCCACCCTTTTAACTTTTAACTGCTCAAATTTAATAGCATCAATGTCCCTCATATATAAGCCACCATGTCAAATTTTGTTACTTAATCTTTACCCCATCCTGAGATATTAAGCAAAATAGATGTGCGCATGCACACCCATGGAATTTTTTTTACTTTTTTTGGCTTCAGGAGGTCTTAAAATGTGAAGATTTGCAAAAAACTCAAAGGGTCAAATTTGACATGATTCTAATACTATCCCTTGTTATATATACATAACAGCCAGGAAAGTAAAAGTAGTATTCACTTTCAGTTTTAAATTGATTGTGCATCTTACATTCAATGGTATTGTAGAATCAAAATAATACAGTGTATAATGACATATTTTAAATTAGAAGTATTAATTTCAGGCATTTGCTTTTGGAAGTAATTTATCATAGATAATTCATATCTATGATAAATTAAAAATAAAAATAAACAGCTATGGTATAATAAATTGCAAACTATCTTCAACTCTTTTGGAATATCAGTACTACTATTTCAAGACAATATTCAAGATTGGAAAACAGGTTACTCATTACTTTTGGAATCAGCTATAGCACATTCTATAAACAAAGTTCAGTACTCTCTTCATAGTAGTAAATATCATTCGTGGTACTTGGATATATTTGAAATACCATCAGTTCAGCCATATATGTTGTATTCGGTAAATTTGAATGTAAAACGACTTATAATACAACTTCGCTTAAATAAATATTCGCTGTATATTAACAACACTTATATAAGCTTATTAACAAAATGTTTTTCATGTAATTCCGACGACTTAACACCTTATCAATTGATATTAAAATGTCCAAAACTAAATGAAATTCGTGAACACTAAGACATAAATCGAATTTATAAAGGCAACTCGCTAATAGAATTGTTAAAAAA